CATGATGTGAGACTGCGATGGAAGAGATGAAAAAATAACAGAAACTCTAAAACGTGCCATATTTTCCTATCAGTAGCATTGAAATCAATAATCCAGTTCAGTTCTTCTTCGATCAAAAATCGCTCAATCGAATGTGCACCAGGGAGAACTGTACCCTGCAAGCAAAAACTAGAAAATGACTCTATGAGAAATCACGAATGAAAAGTTCAAACAAACATCTTCTGGACAATCAGCATAGTCAAAAAGGCGAAATACAACCATAGGAAGTGGGTAATTCGCACCTTCACTGTGGATAGGAGGCGAAAAGCTTTAAGAATAGAGGTAAGGACAAAAATAAAGCTATCTGTGTATGTCTCAAACTCACCTTGGCAAGTTGTGCTGCAACGCATCTTGAAGGGCTGCGTCGAAAGCAACATAGTGTCTCGCTATCTGTTTCTCTTTCCAGTCATTATTTTTTAAAGATGTCACTTGAGCCATAAGGCAATCCAAATAATCTTCCTGCTCGTGAGGTGTGTTTGAACTCCAAACTTGAAGCATCTAGAGTTTCAGAATTTTTAGAACAAAATTCATCTGCTTTTACAGTATTTCCATAAACCTCACCCGCACATGAATTTTCTTCCTACCCTCAATGTACTTGCTGGCGCCTTCTAGGATGTTATCGAGCTCTTCTTTCTTCTTCTCGTTTAATTCAAGTCCAATCCAGGGTAAAACGCGCAACACCACGTAAACAAACCAATCCGTACGTGCCTATAATCATCGATTATCTTACACTAATACAATTCCTAAAGGTAAAACTCAAGATAGTTGTGGGTACCTGTGGGACATTTTCCTCAAAAGCCGATTGCATCAGTCCATCGAGGAATTCGGTAATAGAACTAAGCGTAAGAACTCGACTGTTACCAAGATCGCAGAGAAAAGTTATCTAGAGAGATTTTAAAAAAACTCTTCTTGCATAGTAGAACATGTTCATGTGCACTCACTATATACATCGCATGCTCATAATCTTCAGCTTCAAGCTTAGTCTGTAAATCAGAGACCAGCTTTTCGACTATCTAAACAGACACATTCAAAATCACAGAGCTATGCACGAAAACAAGACATCATACTTACCTCTCCACCAAAATTGAAGTTTTTCGCATTTAAAAGCCCAACTAATGTAGAGTATACTGTCACTTTGTCTGGCAGCTGACACACACTAAAGCGATTCAATTCATGGCAATAAGTAGGACGTCTAAACTCACCATAATGTGATTATCTCAATAATCTTTGTTCGATATTTATCAAGATCGGCTTCTAGAAGAGTGCATAAACTCTCCAGATTACTCTCCAATGAAGAAGTGGCACTCTGAAAATAGAAAGAAATGAAATCAGGACCGCAACAGGGAATCATATTCCTCACACTCTCGTCGACTCTTATGATAAGTGTTTGGAGCCTTCGCTCTACTTCATCGTATTCAGGCAATCCACGGTGTCTCTTTGCATCAATTTCATAATCTGTAAAGGGAATGAAGGCTCTACCAGATAATTGTCAGCACCAACGTTAGAACATGCTAAATAAGGAAACCCTACCATCACTGGCGTGTCTCCTCCGGTTGCTCATTGCAGCAAAGCAAGCTGCGGAAGGAGCTATCTAAAGCGAATGGATGAATTTTTGTGTTAGGTATAGTT